GACTCAGTCACCTGTCAGCCGCGACGCAAGGCACAGCGATTTCGCTATGTGCGTGTATCTACAATGAAATCACATGCGGGAAAAGGGACTACCGAAACCACTACAATGACTTCACATGCAGCGCCCATTCATCAGGAATTTCTTCAATGCCGAGTTGAGGTAACTGTTGTAAGTTATGTGTGTGCATAATCGTCCGCATGAGCGTGCCATGCACTGATACGACGGCAGCAGGACATAGCAGTTGTACCACGAATAAATCTCCATGCAGCATGAGAAAACGTGGCAAAAACTGAGCCAATACCACATTCAGTGCACCACAGAAGGATAACTCAAGCCATCCAGACGTTTCACACAACCATTTGAACGTCCACACGTCATCGGGACCGCGATCAAGCAGAACTGCACGAAACCACGATGTGGTTGTCAAGAAGGGGTCTCTCCATCTCAACCATGTGTCATGATGTATGCCGACCATCATACTTCATCGAACGGCTGAACTCATGCCGCTCCGCTCCTGCAGTTTCTCCAGCCTGGCTGCATCGTATTCGCGGGCGTGGACTGCACTTCGCTTGTACTCCTGATGTCCAGGTCTTCGCAGGAAACACTGGTCAAGACTTGTTCCAAGCGGCAGCACCACAATGAGTGCCTTTCTTGTGTTCAGTTGGGTCTTTGATGCTGCCTTTGGCTTCCAAAGAAACGTGCACAGCTTCCAAACGTCGTGTTGCTTGTCAGGGCATGAAAGGCAGAATACGGGCACAGCAGCTCTGACTGTCAATAATGCATACTGCACCGCACCCTTCTACTGGCAAGCCCTTCCAGCATTCCATTCGCTCCTCTGTGAAAGGTGGGCACTCGTGTCGTCCACGGAAGTAATCCTCATCAGATGCACAATCCACTTCAGAGTCAGCACATCTAAACTTGTCGAGCTAGCGAGCTTTCCACCAGATCGAAGTACACAGAACGGCTCCCTCCTGACACAATTGGCACATCGCCAGCTTGGTGACGTGGTCCGCTCAGGTACCATGAAAACCAGTTGTCGGAGCAAACACCAATTTGAATTTCAGGGATGAACCACTTGGCAGGTAGAATCCCTCATGTGAGACTGCTTCGCGACTAATCTGTGCCTGTGCACTGCTAGCTCCGGTACGTTCAGGGACTACGGAGCCTGAAGCCTTAACAACAAATCCGGATTTTCCGAGCAAGGTCTTTATGCTAATATACAGGTTTTGACTGGCCACTCTTTTTAGCCAGGATCTACGTGCCAGGGGGCAGAGGCGACAAAGTTACCGGAAATTCCAGCAATGCGGAGAGGACCTGGGCGAGGACGGCACCATGCCTGTGTACGATGAATTGAAAAGGAAGACTGGAACCGCCAGCACCCGTCCCATCCTCTCACAGAGCAGACCACATAGCTGGAAAGGTTTCTACGAAGAGGCCTAGCCCCTGCTACAATACTTCCCTGTCGATCCAGGCCGCCAATGCGGACCACTCCAGCACAGCCAAGGTAGTAGATCCGTGGAGCCACCCAGCCGCCAAAGTAATGCTCACCTAACCACCGGCTCTTGCATGCATCTTGCACTGGGCTTGCAAAGAGTGGTGGTTGTCACAGGATGTTACGCGCAGATGTCTATGCTCCTCAGCCTCTTCTTCCCGGGCCCATCTTACAACAGAAACGAGTACCACCCGAGGTACGAAGCAGGTTCGCCGCTTCGTTTCTGCCTGACGGCTGCGACTTTGGCGTGGGAATACTCTGGAATGCTAGAAATCTCCAGTCCAACATGCCACTAGGATGATCCAAGCTGAGCGGGGAGGCGGGGAGTTCACTGGCATGTTGACAAACTTCAGCTTGGGCTTAGTCTTTGCCTGCGGTCTCTTCAATATCGGCTCTGGCTACGCATACCACTGTCATTGAAGTTGGCCCACCAGTCTGACACGTTGCGACGACAGTACAATTTGCAGCACCCCGCCTCCGACGAATATAGTTGTGACCGGAGCCTCGTGCGGGAGCGATAGACACAGGCAGGAAACTGGGCCCCTCCACTTGCCGAGACATCTGCAGTCCAAGCAAGGCAAAAGGCGGCTTCTTATGTTGAGGGCCTGTCACCTTTAGCCGAAATCAGTGTATCACACACTTTCGCCACAACCTGCGCGCCCGAAGGTAGCAGCTACTGCGTTGTGTTTCTGGACGGCCCACCACTTCCTGGCAAGGCCCGGAAAGTCCGGAAGCCTTGCTCGGCCAGGCTCCTAGTCCCGCGGTAGTACGAAGTGTTGTCAATTTACGGCACGATGGGTGCCGCCTGCAGGAGGCATAATTTCTAGTGAAACCTGCCGCGCCAACACATTGAGCGCCACAAAAGTCCGTTCAGCGGCCAGTAGCCGTTACGCGGGCAAAGGTCTCCATTGCGCCAGGAAGAGCGAACGGAGCTCAAGTCTCACATCTGCATGGTAGCCCCCAGGCCCCAGGAGTGGAGCAGGACAGCCTCTTTCCTATGGCGTCTATGGTCCTACCATGGGTGCATCTGTTGGGTTGGAAATAAGCAAGAAACCGAGTTCTTCTTGAATAGTCACAGTCACGGTAGTCTGGCAGTAAGCGTACAGGCAAGAAGATATGCCCAATGCTGCAACCAGCATGGCGAACAACTTACGAGGTTACACCTGTAAGAAAGGAGTCCGAATTACCTTGGCCGCAAGGACCAACCAGGACCCCATGCCCATGCCCCAAACTGCTGAGTCCCCAGCCTCGACACGACCGGTGTAGTACTTGCTGAAGTCCTTCATATCCTGTCTCTCCTGTCGAGTTTTGCTTTGCGTGCTTGCCTCCCGACTTGGGGTCTTCGGAAGACCCTCAGCACAGTACAACAATCGGAGCAGTTCGTGTGCTGGTGTTGCTGGGAGTTCGGGACTGCGCGCTGAGGCCATAAAGTAGACTTGAGGATGGATCACTTGATGCATGATGGCTGCTTGTGGTCAGTAGCAACCTAGAGGATCACAGGCGCTAATCACTACTCCCTTCCCTATCCTTCCCTTCCCCCTATTCTTAGACTACCCCCGCTCTCTTAATATCATTTTCCGTCGGAAATATGGTCTTCTATTCTAAAGCCTTTGGTGGGCAAGCCACAGACAGACCCTGCAGTCCAACGCTCCTGCAGCCCTGCTGGCTGCAGTTCTTGCAGTCAAGAAAACTAAACTCTGAAAGGAAAAGGAACTCAACATGTACACAGTCGCTCTCGTGATCGTAAGGTTTCGGATGATGGGATAACCCCCAAACCTAGACTCTTCGAGAGAGAGAGAGGGAGCTTCGACATAGGTGAAGTAAGTAGTAGTTGCAGGTCCCCAAACCTTTTCCCTTCGGCGACCCCATAAGGATACCCGTAACATGCCCTGATAATTAGTACTGTTGCCTTGGCCCTTTTAGACTCTCTTGCATTCCGGGCTGGATCCCCACCCCCCCCGGAAAAAAGGCACTCAATATTTCGGAGAGGCTCGAAAAGAGGGGGAAGCGATAACATATGCATCCGATGGACACAAAACTAAATTCCGGAAGCGATGATCTGGCAAACGGCACCCCCCGAACACTCAACCGTATATACATTTACGGCAAAGTCTGCCGCGAAGCAGCTAGGTAGCTCTTACAAAAAGACCGCTGCCAACCATGGGCTCCAACACTGCAGCTTTGAGGGGGCATAGTAGTCGATGCACAGTTGAGTGCTGCGACAGGCGGCCGAAACTAGAAGCTCAACTCTAGTCTCAACTCTGTTCATGCTGCCGGTCTGCACGATGCTGTTGCGGCATGCAGACGTGATCCAGATCCTGCCTGGGAGAAGGTTCCGGTTCGGGATACAGCAAGCAGATGAGAAGCACAACAAAGTCAGGCATGCGAAAGTAATATCCAAGTGGCTCATTGCGAACCGACATAAAATCTCCGCAGCAAATGAGCAAGTCGATGCCGATGCTTTGTCTTTCCAGCCTCCTGCTCAGAAGGGCATCTTTGAAACACTCTACATTATCCCATCCCAAATGTTCCGATGTTCCATCAGGACAACTACAAGTTACTCTCTGTTCCGGCTGCGATGTGCGGGCAAGCAGAATGCTCAGAAGTCCTTGTTAAACAGTGATCCAGCAATGCTCACATGCTATCGGCACTACTCTGTAGCAAAAGCTAAGCTATCGTGCAGAATGAAAGCCTCACCGTTTCGTAGACGCGGTCCAGTTCTCCATGGCAGCACCCTAAGACCTGAGTGCCAAGGTTTCTGTCATGTTCGTGCCGATATATGCATAGCGCATTTATTGAAACGCCCTGTAGCTTGTATGCGCTTCGGGAGCCCATGGGAGTGCATCCCGCTTCGTCCGCTTCGGTAGGGATCAACACCGCACTGGGCAAACCCATTCGATGCCCTCGCCATCTTCTTGTCTTAGCCATTTCATCGTCACCACCCCGTGTCATCCTCACCGGCCGGTAGTAACCTCAACTTCTTCAAGGTCCCTTGGTTTAGCTACGGCTTGTCTGCAAAATGCTCGGGCTAATGCAAGGTTTACCTCAGCAGCTTGTTGCACAGTGAGCTTGGCACTCCGCTGTCGCAGGGTTGTGCGGCAAGTGGCTGTCTGGACGACTAGGTTGACCAGATGTTCTCAAACAGGTTGTCACTTCGAACCCCCAATCCGTGGAAAGGCATTCCACCCTGACTCATGCGCAGCACCCAACTAGTGGTCTTCTCCCTTCTGTTTTGTGACACCACATTGACCGAGAGTAAACTGTTAATGGTGAAAGCAGACGGGCTGACCCAAGCATAGGAATCATCCCAGACCAAGGTGCTCCGATCCTCATCGTCGAGCACCCGCCGTGCTCCTTTGGTGCGACGCTGTCCCCCCGGACTGATCGTGGCACATGGCTCGATGCTCGATAAGGTGTCTGACCTCTTCCTTGGCACTCTACTAGAGTTTGGTGTTCAGCAGTCTACGACATACCACATCACTCCCGAAAGAAACCGGAATGATACGTGTGCATATATATATATATATATTGCAATCAGTAGCAACATCAATCTCGTTCCCCTGCCTGGCAGAGTCCAAGTGCTTGTGCGGCGAAGGTGGGCCATGGCCCATCGAGGCTTTGAGTAACAGCTTCAGGTACGGTTGATTAACATCAAGACTGCTGTTCCAAGGAAGTTAACTTTCATGACAAGCTAGTTTCATGAATCATGATTATGGACAGAACCACGTCATCAACAGAAGCATGATACGGCTGTGTTACCCCAATTCAAATGCAACACCTGCTGCTGCTATTGCGACGATCATTATGGCGCTTCTTGTAATACACTTTTCTGTCGATACTACCGTTCAGCGTGCCATCGCGGACTTCTCAATGCTAGCAGCAGCCACAGTGGCGGCAACAGCAGTACCACGAGTTCGGGATAATAAAACCTAAATCCCTATCTAAAACCAAAATCGTGTAAGGCCAAACAGTAGCAGTAGCAGAGTAGCAACAGCAGAGAAGCAGTAGTAGTAGTAGTAGTAGTTATTGTTGTTATTGTTGTTCTTGTTGTTGTTGTTGTAGTCGTAGTAATAGTAGCAGTAGTGGTAGTAGTAATAGTAGTAGTAGTACTAGTAGTACTAGTAGTACTAGTAGTACTAGTAGTAGTAGGAGTAGCAGTAGTAGTAGTAGTAGTAGTAGTAGTAGTAGTAGCAGTAGCAGTAGCAG